TTTTGATCTTGTTCTTATCTCCCAGTTGGTCTACATTACTGGTATCTACCACTTATTTCCCCATGTTGTCATGATGTTTGTGCTTTCCAATTCATAGACAAAGATCATTTGAGAGAGCAAATAATTATAATGCTCCATAAATAATTTACAATCTTTTTTTTTTCCTTTACAGATAAGCAGATCTTATGAAGCTCTTAGGTTTGATAATGTTCATAACTGTGTTATCCGTCCCCAACAGATAGAAATTTTCTGTTGGTATTTCTATGGGTTCATTCTTTACCCATTCTTGCACTTGAACCACTGTGTATTTTTGACTCCCTCGAAGGCTTGTTATGAATAACAATGCTCTAATTTTAGGAAGATGTTCAAAAGGAAGAAACTGAGAACCTAGTTTTAAAGCAGAGCTGAATGAAGTTAAGGAAGAAACCAAAGCAGAGGCTATCGCATAACAAAAGTCTTCAGTCCTATGTTCTCATAAATAATAACAAATGAAAGCATCTGATGATGCTAATGGTGAGCTCTTCCTTGGGCTTAGCTAGAGCAGCCCCTCCAGGGCTATGCTACTAAGGCTACTAAGGAATAAGACCTACCTGCCAAAATCTTTTGTTTTCTTTGCCTACCTAAAAAAGAAAAAAAGGTTGAGAATCCCCAGCACTGCCTACAGCGGTGATTTTGTGTTATAGAAACCACAGCAGCTGATGCTCTTGTCTAATATAGTTACTGCCTCCCTATGGCTTTGTTTGGACAACAAAGAGAAATGCGTCTGTCTGTCACTGTTTCATAGACTCTGGGAGCTGCACAGAAATGGACAAGGGACGTAGTTTCATTTTCTGTAGATTTCTCAGTTCTATTCCTCCTTTGTTGGACTTGAAATGGTGTTGTCACTGTGGTTGTTCTATTCTCCATCTCTGCTGGGTCCTCCAGAGAGGCAGAGGAACACTCTGGGATTAGTAGAAAGGGAGGTGCTGATGTTTTTTTCACTTCTTGTGAGCCCGTATTCCTGTTGTGGGGTTTTGTTTGCTGTGAATCCTGTCTGCCTTTGAGAAATTTCCCCCTTGTTAATCCGTTTCTGCCAATGACAGCACAGATGAAACCAAACACTTCTGTATCTCCTCCAGTCTATGACAAACCTTCGACTTGTATTTAATTAAAGAGCGTACACAGTGGCTTTCTTAGCACTAGCAGTAATCCTCTAACAATTGCTGGGACCCTGAGAGAAGGAAAACTCTCATTAATAAAGACTTTGGGGGATAACTCCACAGGAGAGTTGCTGCAGAATTCAGAGCTGCAGGAAATCATGCCCAGTAAAAAACTTGTTCGTCATTCTGCTCAGTGTGTGCTGGAAAAATGGCCCTGACAAATCCACCACAACTTTTACGTGGTAACTCATGCGTTCCAGAAGGGCTTTTAGTGAATGGGTGTTTAATGAGTTTGAGCTAACTGCACATCTATTGTTTGCTAGCTAGTGTTTGCGTGACCTACAAGTGTTGTGGTCAGGCTTTCCGTTTATCTGCACTTTTTGGGTGGGAAATGTGGATCACTGTGGGCCTTAGCTCTGTGTCTGTGTGGCCAGTTGCCACTGATGTGAAAGATGTCAAACTCCCCAGTCCTTGTGGATGCCCCATCCCTGCAGGCATTCAGGGCCAGGCTGGATGTGGCTGTGGGCAGCCTGGGCTGCTGGTTGGCGACCCTGCACACAGCAGGGGGTTGGAACTGGATGAGCATTGTGGTCGTTTTCAACCCAGGCCATTCTATGATTCTATGATCCTTGCCTTTTCCAGAGGGAAGATAAAAAAGCCAAAGTGGGGAAGCAGTGAAGTGAGTTCATATCAAGCTATCTGTAAAGTCTCTTTCATTCTCTTCTGGGAGGAACCCGCTAAGGAAGGATTGTTATTCAGCCTCTGATCCCAAGAAAGGGATCAAAAGAGTCTTGTTTTGCCAGACAAGACTTACAGCACTGAGGTACATGGTTAGAGGACATGGTGGGGTGACTTGGGGTTGGACTCTAGGATTTTAGAGGTCTTTTCCAACCTTTATAATTCTATTTGTTTAGATTGTTAATTTCCTTATTTAGTGAGCGTGGGGAGTAAGCCATAAACCAGAAGGCTTCAAATGTGAGTCTGTTTGACCTTGATGATTCAGTTTAAGATCTTTTACACTCTAAATTCACACATCAGTGACCTTCCCCGCCTAAATATTGGATGTTTCAGTCTGAAGTTCAGTCAGCCAAGAGGCATGAAAAAACCTTCAAGACTGATGCTCACAAGCTCTCTGTGGACTAGAAGGAGTGGCAAAAATCAATTGATACGGAATGCACAGCGTTTACCCAACTAAAACGAGGGAAGATAAGTCCCACTGAGAGTAATGATAAAATAGTCTTTAAAAAAAGAGTTATCTCATGCTGTTTTTAGAGAACTTAGTGTATTTATGTAGCCTCCTGTCTTATGATGTTGGCCCACGATGTCAGAAGCTGATGTTGGTGGGATGGCAGTAGGGGTCGAACCTTCCCACCAATATTCCATTACTTTTTCTTTCCTTGAGAGTGACGGCAACAGAAGAGCAATCTGACAGAATGGTGTCTGACATGGAAGTGTGTATAGAGCAAAGGAGTGTCACTGAATTCCTCCATGAACTAAAAGTGGCACCTGCTGACGTTCACTGATGAGCACAGTGAGGAGTGGGTGGTGCATTTCAACAGCAGCGTCAGTGGGTCACCTCTGCTGATGCAGATTTGGGCAAGCCCAGAATGAAGGCTTTTGATCACTGCTGGCAAAAAGGCACAGCAAACGGTGTGACTAGATTGAAAAAGAGTTTTGCAGCTGGGAATTTGCTCTAGCTCATAGCGCTATTGCACTCTTCGCGTTGGTTGTCATTTCCATGAAAATAAAAAGGAGGCATTACTTTTGGAGCTACCTAGGCACTATATGCAATCAACCAATTTAGGCTTGCATTTGTTTGTGACTAGGAGATGTGGTGAAGTACTTGCTAGAGGGCTCAGCAGAACATTTGCAGCCCAAAAGAATCCTAACGATGGGTTCTAGCACCTTGCCAACCCTGATCAAAGTTAGAGTTGTATGAATTAATTTATAAAGTGAACACTCAAATTGTTTATAAGTGTGAGAGGGATCGGGTAATAGGCTCAGTCCAAAGAGGTTTGACTTTCCTTTGAAAAAAGGGATGTTTTGAAAGCAGAACATTTCAATCTTTGTTTTTAAAGTAAGCTCCACGTTCTTTTACATGCATACACACACACAGATATATATCAGTTAAAATAAATTTCCCTTTTGGAAAAAAATAAAATAAAAAATAGAAACATTTGAGTACCAGGACAGCAGCAACTCAGTCTCCTTCAATGTGCTGTTATTCTGGTTTTTCTTTTAATTTAGCTGGAAAGTCACATTGCAGTAATAATTATCTGTGTACTGCTAATTGAAGCCCATTCTCAGCCTAAGGGAAATTATAGTCTGAGCAAGGCATGGACTAGAAGAAGGAAAAGATTAGGTTGGTTTAGTAAGAGACTGGATTAAAATTATAACATAATTTAGCATATTAATTTTTATTCTAAGTGTAAATTGCATCAAAGCTTTGTTCCTTTGGAGGGTTTCTGGGTCTTCTGTTTTACTGCATCGGCTGATGAATGAGTAGAAAAGTAGCTCTCATTTTGAAAAGAAACATGAAGAGTTCTTTTTTTTTCTTTCTTTCTCTGCTTTCATCAGACCAAAATACTTCCTCCCCCCCCAAATTCACCAACTGTGAAGGCAAGAATCAATGAATTTTAATGGAGAAAAGCTGTAACTCTGCCTCACATCTGTCCCTGAAGCTCACCTCACTCAGGGTTACGCCTGCATTGCATTTCACGTTGTCTGAGCAGACTCAAGCCAACACTGCTGCTCTCTCCACATCGTTTCCTTCTCACCGTCTCTTTGCAGTTGAGTTTCTGAACATGTTATCTCCCAGCTCAACGTGGTTTGCCATCTCTTTGAAGGAGGTTGGGTTCTCTGTTTGATTTTGTGCAGCTGCCATAATGGGAAGCCTGTGAAGATATGAGCAACAAAGTCATGCAATCATGAGCAAAAAGCCTTCTGAGATCCCCAAGTCCAACCCCAGCCCATCCCTACCATGCCCACTGACCACATCCTCAGTGCCACATCTACCCTCTTCATAAAAACCCCCAGGGGCTGAGACTCCACCACCCCTGTGGGCAGCCTGTGCCTGATGGTGTGTTCCCTCCATGTGGGAGCAGGTTGGTGGCATTAACATGGCTGTGCTGGCTGACATTAACATGACCCTATCTGGCTCGTGGTTCCTTTTTTGGATGCCAATTGTTATGGTCCATACTTTGTGACTGAGAATGCATGATGTAAGAGTCCATGATTAATTATCTGCATGTTTTAGACACTGATGTATTAAAAAAGCCAAATATAATTAGGTCTAAGTGGGGAGAAAACACTTAGGGGAGAGAAAAAGCCTTCTTACTGGGAATTTCCTGCTTTTTAGCTCCTTGATCTCCTAATCTGCATCTGAGATTTTGTTCTTATTTGGTTTGGGTTTTGTTTTGCTCTGAATTAGCATGAGCCAGGAGGCAGTCCATGTGGGAAGGGAGGGAATAAACGATGTAAGCACAGATCCCACTGCTCCTGGCATGAATTTTAAAGCTGCCATCTTCCTGCCCTAGATAGCTGTCAGAGTTAGTCTAGTCAGGCAGGATTCCCAGAGGATAAAGAAGCAGAATTGCTCTTGATCATCAGCAAAAAAAAGTTTGTTTTTATCATTTTATGATAGGCACAGAGAACAATGGTGTTTTTTGTTGGGTCTTTTTTTTTTTTCAGTAGGTACTGGATTATTTTCCCCTCTCTCAATCAAATGTAAAATGAGCCTGGATGCATATCCCCATGGTGCATTGACCAAGCAGAGCTTGGCTAGCTGTGCATCCCCAGGAATGCATCCTGAGTACACATGGGTTTTGCTCACTCTCTCCTTTCCTCTTGCCCTTCTTTCAGGCATCCAGCACGCGCCCAGAGTGCAGCATCATGCTGGAGATTGAAGAGGAACGCAGCCAGTGCCTGGCAGAGATCACTGAGGATAATCAGACCTCAGGTATGGGAGCAACTTCTTCCATCTCTGACCCTCAGGCTCCCATCCCTGGATTCACATCTGCCTTGTCTGTGCCATTTCTTGTCCCTCTTGCAGCAGCAGAGTGCTGCCTGGGTTTGCTTTGGCTGATGTTGAGCTCTTATGTTAGGAGGGAGAGATACTGATCCTTCTAAAGCACAGTTCCATCCAAGTATTTGAATAGCTTGATGATGACCACCCACAGGGGGGTGAACCTCAGCCATCTCAGGCTGCTTAATCAGAGTCAGTCACACCTCTTTCTGAAATAGAAGTGTCTTAACCAACTCTGATACCTTTACTCACCTCCCTTCTTCGATGATCGGAAGAAGAGAGTCAAGTTGACAGTGCCAGCTTTGCTCTCCATTCTCCCAAGGTTTCCCCATCCCAGCAGCCGTGGAGCTGTGCCTCCTTTGAGGAGAAGGCATAACACAACATGAATTGGGCAGGTGGTGTTTCAGAACAGGAGAGATGCTGCAGGACATGACTGTGAGGATGGGGGATATTTCATACATTTTTGCTGTTGAAGTTCCTTGGTAGACAGCCTGTAGGAAGCTTGGGGTATTTTGGCACAGCCACTCGTGCTCAACCCTTAATTGTAGAGATCTGAGTGACAGAAAAATAAAGGTTTTATTCTGGTCTTGTCCTGTCATATCTCACAGCAGTTAAGTCAAAGCTCCAGGAATCGGATGTTGGGGTGGACTTGTCCCCTCCAAGTGCCTCTCTCAAGGCAGGGTCAGAGTTTGTGTGTAAAGGAGGTGTAGGGAGCAGTGGGAGACTGGTGGGTTCCAAAAAGGGGAGATCACATCGGTTGGGGTAAAGGTAGGAGGATGCATATCCTGCTTTACATTTGCATCCTGAAAGAGGAAAAAGTGAAAGACGTCTTCTCATCCTCTTTCACTTGGCACTGCTCAAAATAGGCTACAGACCAAAGGGCTGTTCTGCATGATGCTTATTAATGATAGAACAGCATCCTTGGGCCAAGCTGGTCCCTCAGGGAGCTTTACTGAATGCAAGGAAGGCTTTTGGCCCCTGCTTTTATCTATTAAGATATGTTTTCCTTTGATTTCAAGCATCCCAATGCAGTTAAATAGAGCTGTTTGAAGAAATGTTCCCCTGGAATACAGTAAAGAAAGGAGAAGTCAGGGTACTTAAATACATCCTCTGAAAGCCAACTAAATGCTTCATTTCATTTTCATGCACACTTGGAGAAATTCAATTAAATGCAGGACATTCAAAATGAAAGAATAAATATTCGAGTGTTAATCTTTTTTTTCTCCTTTTTCAAAGTGTTCTTCCCCATTGAAAAGTTTAGTCCAAAACGTGTTATGTGTTGTTGTTTTGTTCTGATTTTTTTCTCTCCACTGAATTAAACGAGCGTATTTTTGCTGATTCTGATGTCAGAGCACGCTCAGCCTTACTGTGTGCCATCCATGCCTAAAGCATAAGCCAGTGTATAAACACCTTCTGGAGCTTGTTTTTCATCAGAGAATGCTAAAATATTGGGTTGTAGGAATTCTGCATTTCTGCCCATTGCTACCGTAGTCGTTACACAAGATACGAGCACTGTAAGATGTTCTCCTCCATGGAGATGGTGGTTACTACTCCTGAGTTTGTTGTAATGGTCACCGATGATATCAATGTGGAACACACGTAGTGTTCCACATCAGTAGGTATTTAAGAGTTCAGTATACGAATTCCAGCAAAGAACTCACCTGAGCCCTTGCAATCAGTGGAAAGAAACCTCAACTTCTGATGTGTGATTGCTCTGGCACTGAGGTGGGTGACCAATAGATAAGTGCATCAACTTTTGGAGATGACTATTTTGGAAGTGACGTGGACCAACAGCTTCTAAATGTCTAAACAGCATGTGTTTTCCTGTTGGAATGTCCAACCCATGATGTGTGAGCTCAAGTAGACTGAAAAAGCTCTTTTTTCTGTGCAAGTCAGTGATTATAGCTGAGCACAGCTGCAAAATTCAGCTCTGATCTTTGGAGAGGTGGAGGAGGGGGCAGTTTGGTTGGCAGAGCTGACATGGAAGTGATGACAGGAGATCGCACGGAGATGAAGTTTATTTCCAGCAACGTTAAGACTGAACAATTTAAAAATAAATGTTGCATAAAACCTCCTAGCTCAATTCCCTAGAAAAGCGTTAACTTTAACGTGGCTCAGTCTCACAAAGGAGGAGAATGGAAAGCAATTGGAGCTCTCTGCCAGTTGTAACGTAGTACCGTGATTTATGGCCAGGTAGGTGTATTGCCTTCTGTGCATTCAACATCCTGTTAGCAAGAAGAAAATCACTTGAGATTTAACAGCCAATTTATTATCCTTTCTAATTGAATGAGTGGGATTAAGGAAACGCGCAGTTCCAATACAGTCTAGAAATAAAGCTTTGTTTAGAAGCCATTATCAGTTGTATCGATCGGAAGGGCTTAATCACAGCTGTAATTTGTTGTGTCAAATAGATTAGTCATTTGTAAAGAACACCTGATGGTAATACTGAGATTAATCACTAGCTCAGGGTAAGCAGGTAGATTTCCACTGATAAACAATAACATCTGTCTTAACACTGTTTTGTGTTTGAACAGCCATTAATTACAGTGGGTACATGTGCGTGAGTTAAATCAATGCTTTCTTTTCAAATTAAATGTCTGTGTTTTCAGTGCACGTGGTGGGGGCCAATTGCTGTTCCTAGAATCAGTCCTGGACCACAGGCAGCCACCACTGGTGAGACTGGAGTCTCTCTTTTCTCTCTTAGGCCCATTTTTGAGGAAACGGTGTCTGATAAGATGATGTTGTCTTTTTGAGTGCAGAAGGTGCAACTGGGATGCAACAGCAGTGGAGATTGGTTTAAGCTGGCAGCACGTGGAAAGAATAAAATGGCTGTGAGATTGATGTTTGGGCTTTAAGGAAGTTGCTAACCATCAGAGGGCACAGAGCTGCAGGAAGGAATGCTTTATTGGCTCCACAGTGGAGTGTGCCCAGTTTATGAAAGGGTGTGTAAGACGCAGTTGTGCTTTGCAGTATGGAATTGAGTTTCATGAGCTGGACTGCCCTGGCAGCCCTCTGCCCTGTTATCCTTTCACCTCAATGATCAGACAGCATGATCTTGTATCTCTTGTAAAGTGGCAATTGTGATGCAGTACAGAGGTGGATTCTTTATCATCGAAATGAAGACCAGATAGACTGAGATCTGTTGGCTTCACGTGGGCAAATAGCTACTGGTTGGGAATAACTTTTGGTGCAACTTTTATGTTGCTCTGAGGTATTCTAGCTGAATGTAGGCATCTCTTTTAGGATGCAGTGAGTCGTGTTCAGATTGCTGTATTGTGGAGGCTTACCTCACCTGTGCTGGAAATAACCCCAGCTCCCAGGTGGGACCCATCCTGTTGTCCACTGGTTTGGAGGGGATTGGGGTAAGTGAAGTGAAGTCCCTCTTCCACCATTAGAAGACATGCATCTGTCTGTTCACATACAGAATTGGAATAAAACCTTCACTAGGGCATTTGTTATATGATCTTTCTAGCCTTTTATATTCCCCAAAGAGTGTTTACAGTATAATTTATAGCACTGCTAAGAAAAAGTCTTCTGTAGATCTTATTACTGTGCACATGGCAGGTGTCTTGCCTGCCCAGTGCAGGAGGTGATGCACACAGTGCCTCATCTCAGTCTTGGTGCAGAGCGTGTTCCTAAGTGACCTAAAAACCAGTAATGTTGTCTGTACTTATCCTACAGTGTGATATAGGGGACCTTTGCTGGGTTTGACATGATGGAAATTGGGCATTGGTTATTCCTTCCTTTCTCACAAAGCCCAGAGAAGGTATTGCTGAGCTGCATCGCAGATGTGCCTGGCTGTTGGACTGGGTGACGTTTTGTAGTTTTGTCACGTGGGAATTGGCTGGCTTTTCTTTGCAGGCCACATGCTGATCTCGTGGCAAGCATGGCAGGGTTGCAGTAGTTCATATACTGAGAATGGCACAAATCATAGCTGCACGTAGATGTCACACGTGTGTGAATCATTTAGAATGAATCACAGCATGGCTTCGATTGGAAGAGACCTCAAAGATCACCTAGTTACAACCGCCCTGCAAAAGGGGGTTGGTTTTCTTTTTACTCCAGATTCTTTAATTTCCCACCCTAAATGTGTTCTCATTCTCTCTCCATGCTGGTCTCATAGTTGTTCTCCCTGCAAACTTTGCCTCATTTGACATCCATAGAGTATTGCAACATCATGGTTTAGTAGGCATGGTGGGGATGGGTTGACAGTTGGACGAGATAATCTTAGTGGTCTTTTCCAACCATTAGGATGCCCTAACAGCACTATTGCTGAAGTGATGGTGGTCCCTGAGTATTCTTGGCTTCAGTTTTCCTCCTTTAAACTAAAAGTAATGCTATTTTCGTATCTAGAAGGGGTAAGTTAAGGACAAGTACATTGAAATGTGTCCAGTTGCACTTTTTTATGATTTAGACTTCTAACAGAATTGTGCATAGATAGAATGTGAAAGGCAGTATTTTGGCAGCACCTACAGTTTAAATTCACAGGAAAATATTATGTATCTGCAGAGAAATAACACTTCCAAAGAGAAATCCCATGGAGTTTAGGTTAGATAAGTCAGGTTTTCTATCTTCTTCCAGTGAATCTATATGTAGTATCATGCATCACTCTGAATTGGCTGTGGGTGCAGATTTTGTGGGTGATATTTTCCTAGAAGCTGCCAACAGAGGTTCCCCAAGGAACTCAAATTATATCCAACATACACAAAACCACATTCCCCTGTACACTAGTGCCAAGCAGTGCAAAGTGAAGCAAGCAGAGGCAAGAGCTCAATTCCTGACAGTGCTCTGGCATTCGATATTGGTGGGACATAGAGCCTAGGAGTTCATCAGCCAGTTCCTGGGGGAGTTCTGCCTGGGCAGCTGCAGGATCTGTTCACTGAATCATTAAGGTTGGAAAAGACCTGTAAGATCATCTAGACCAGCCATCAAGG